GAGAAGTAGCATAATAATCTTTCCAAATGAATGCTTTGTGTTATAGACTAACTGACCCTAAAATACATTAGATGTTCAATAGCTTCACTGAATAAATGAATGTTATGGCTTTTAGTGCCAAAAGTATTGCCAAAGGAAAGGGAGAGAGAGGAGAATCAGTGAGAAGTATAGGCCTATGCTTCTTAAGGTGTAATCTATGGACCAGTGCTAGTCCACAAACTATAACTGACCCACAACAAGGAGCTCACATCAAAATGTAAATCGACTCCATTGTTGAGCCAACTGTCATCAGTTCAGCCGACTTCTTTGGGGGCCAGGGGATAGTAAAGCTTTCTCAATAAAAGTACCGAGAGATTTATATTCTGAAGCAGCTCTCTGCCTCCTCATGGACCTACAGAACACTCAGCCACTTTGAATAGCACTGTTAGTACACTATAGGTAGAGAGCCAACAAAGAAAGAAAAAGGAGTTGGAAGAAGAGGTCAAAAAGGGGGAAATTTTTAATACTGTTTCGGTAAACTGGGATTAAGCACAGAAGAAAGGGGGAGAAGTGAGGCAATGTCCCTGCAGAAAACCACCGTGTAAAATGTTTGTTGCACACACACCTCTGGTCCTTAATCATCAATATACTCAAATGGTTCTGGGGGTTCTGGCTCTTGCTCCTCCTCCTCGATTTTCGGGCCATGGGCTGCCACAGGTTCCACCAGCTCTTCCGTGTCTTCACTGGTATCCTTCAGAATGATGATGCCTCCAATGGACAGCTGTCAACACACAGCAGGGAATAAAGAGGCACAAGCTGCACTCACATTCCAGACTGCTCCAGAATCCAGAGTGCGTACTTGCTAAATGGTTAAATGGTACCTTAAGACCACATGGATGATTTGGAAGCAAAGAACTGGGCTAGAGCTACACTTTACTAGGTGAGAGTCAGGAAACCTGGGCATTCATGCCTGAGTGATGCTACACTGGTGACTTAACCAGGCTGTTCCACTGTAAGAAGGGGCTGAGATCTTCCTGATCTATTCCTTCAGGTTAGTCTGAGGCCTGAATGAGGACAGCAATAGTAGTGTGCATTACAAAGGACAGAGATAACTAGAATCGTTAAGGAGTATCTGCAAGCTTAACCCAGGGNTCACAGTCCCCAGTAGTTCTGTGGCCTGGACGAGGTTGACAGAAAGACCCAGGCCTTAAAATGGACTTCCAGATCCCTTCAAAGCAAGCATACCTCTGCGAGAGATTGGTGGGGCCCATCAGTGGTGTTCCTGGATACAAACACTCTAGGATTTTTAGTGTGGAATATCGCTAATATTTAAGCAAGTTTAAAAAGGCACATTGCAGGGCATGTGATGTGAGCACAGAGGCCTGAACTAGAAGAGTAGATGCTGAAGTGACTGAATTTGGGTGGTTTCCTGGCAGGTTGACACACCTGGAGGACCAACAAACATGGCACACACTGAACATCCTGAGTTTTGTGTAGCCAGCCCTGTCTTTAGGATGGAATGCTTACGATGGGATTCCTGGGAGCCACTAAGCTCGTCCCGGCCTCATCTGAACCTAAACACCAGCACTACTTGTCCCAAACCAACTTCACGGTATCATTTGTGTGTTCATGGTGAGGCCTATACTTGGACTAGAGAGGGGTGTGTATGAGACACAGTGATAACTGGGTGACTGAATAAATAGTTGGATTAATCTTATCAATAAAAAAAAACTCAGGATGATAGTGCACATAGTAACATTAAATCGCCCTCTTTACCCTACTCCCCACTTGTAATGAATGACCCATGAGCTCACTGAGCCTGAGCACTCCTTCCTGCCCCTGGCGTGAAGACTTTCACTGCTAACAGACATGGGCGGTGAGGAGAATTTGGAAAGGCGTCCCACTGGCTTTCCAAGTGTGGTCCCTAGGGCGGCCACAGCAGCAGCACCTGGCACCTTAGAAATGCGTATCCTCAGGCCCCACCCAGACCTGCCTAATCAGCAAGTCTGGGGGTGGGCACTCCAAGTGTGGGACCCGCTGGACCGAAGGTCTCGGGGAGAGGGCCGGGAGCCTCTCGTGCCCCAAGGCCAGGTCCGCTGGACAGAGCGGGCTCTGGGCGGGCGCGGGAGTGACCCTCCACCGGGCCTGGCGCCTCGCCGGGGATAAACCTCTCGGCAGGAGCAACGGGCCGCGCAGCCCCAGGAAGCCGCCCAGACGCCGCCCGCCCGGCTGGCGCGGGAGCCCGGTGCAGCCGCGGCCCCGCCCTGGCCCTCCGCGCTAGTGGTCACCTCGGCGACCGCCGCCCCGAGAGAGAGCGAGCACAGGGCCCGCAGTTGCTACCCAGTGACCGGAATCTTGGGGCGGGGTCACTGCAGTGACCTCCGCCCAGGGAAGCGTGCGATCAGTCAGGGGGTCTTAGGTAGAGTCTTAAGGCAGCAGCTATCACAATCCGACCTGGGCCGAGCTGGGGCGGAGATTCGGGTCCCGCCTGGCCCCAGGCGCACCCCTGCCTGCCCCAGGAGGTGACTTCCAGGAACCCGGACTCTGGCGGTGCCAGCCCAGCTGTCAGAGCGCCGACAGGTTCCCAGAAATCACACGCGCTCTGGAGCGGAGATGGTCACCTCCCACGCGGCCTGGGCATCACTGGCCCCCTCGCCCCCACCCCCGACCCTAGGAAGGAAGTCGGGACAAAGGCTTTGGAGCTGCCTCGGGCACAGCTGCCCAGGCTGCCCTCTGCTCTCCCAAGTCGCAAGCTCTCTCCACTGCAAGCTCCCCCACTTTGGTTGGGGCCCCTGCCGTCCACCCCGCCCTCCACAACTTCAACTTCTTAAAAGTCAGACCTGAACTACACCGTGGCCAGTGACAGAAATCCGTCTCAAAACAGCTCAAGCCAGAGGGATTTTGTGGCTCACATCACAGGGGAGTCAGAGGTGGAGCCTCTTCCCTGAGACAGAGCTGGAAGTCCCACCCCAGCAATGGGCCTCGGCTCGCGGTGCTTCTGTTTCTCTTCTCTGGGCTCTGCCTCCGGCTCTCTATGGGATTGGGACTGAAAGGCAGTTCTCTCTAGCCATGTGAGCCGGGAGCAGTGGGTGGCCTGCACAGAGCTAAGCCCAGTGGGAGGGTTCTCCCTGGAGTCTAGGGGCCCTGTGTCTGATTCCAGTCCTTGAGGAGGCTGCACCCTGCCCTTGGCTTTCTAAAACGTCCCTGTATGTGTGGGATAAAGGCTCCTTCTTTGCTGAACGTGTTCAAACTGATCACTTGACTTGCAAGGAAGAGTCTGGACTCGAACAGGCTTCCTGCGGGCAGAGCCCGCTCCATCCCAACCAGGAGAATCACAGACACTGCCCCAGCTTCCAGTCCTTCCACCCCCTCCTCCTTCCCACTGCAAGGCAGGGCATTGGCCTTGGTCTGCTTTGACTCTGAGCCTGCACCAGGTCCCAGGAGGGCCCGCCAAGATCTGGGGGGAGGTGCCAAAGCAGGCAGAGATGTTGGAGTAGCCCGCAGTGTAAGCAGCGTCTTGTCCAGGCTCGGACGTTTCTGGTAAATAAAGTTAAGTGACTCTCTCCCCTGAGTATTTGCAGCCCTTGCTTAGAGAAAGTCCAGGAAAAATGAGTGCAGGAAAACAATAAGATAGAGGCAGTATGGGTCCCTGACACAGAGGCCACCCGGTCAGCCCTGCACCAACCACCTGCAGATTTGATGAACAGAGGGAAATAAACGTCTGTCTTATGTAAGCTGTTAACACTTTAGTTAACAAAGACCTGTGGTCAAATCGAATTCACTCTAATAGAACCCCTTATGCCGTGTACACGTTTCTCTGTGGGGGATTCTTGGGCGGGGACACTTGAAGGGGGAGCTGAGTTCTTTTTAGAGATGGGCACAGGGTGAAAAGACAAGATGGGCAAAGGGTTCCTGGAGCCTGGGAGGAGGGGCAGCTAACATCTGCCTGGAGGAGCACATGTATCTGCGGAACAGCACTTCTGGTGCTGAGCACTCTGATTTGGGAGGACTGAGAGCA